GAAAATTCAAATATTATTTTAATTTATTATTTAAAAAATATTATATAATTTAAATTATATTAAACTATATTACTATAACCATTTGATAGGTCCCGTACTCGGTGGCTAAATGACCACCCCTTCCAAGGAACGTGCGTAGAATTATTAGGATTTGGGATCAATCCCAAGTCTCCCATTTCTCTTTTCCCAAAAAAAAAAATTTCACACTGTTCAAAAAAAAAAAAAACCATTTGATAGAGTAAGTCTCTACTGACAAAAGCTCCACTTATTCAATAATTTCGGTTTTTTTATTTTTGACCATTATTCAATAATTTTGTTTTAAAATTTAAAACAAATGATAAAACATAGCATTAAAAAAAAAAACCACTATAAGGTGAGTCTAGAAAAATACTATTTATTAAAGAGAATTGACCGGACGACTGCTTCGGCCTCCCTTGACCCTTTTTTTTTTCAGGCTCAGGAATGGATGCGCAAGAGGTCAACTGTCCCGGCCGCAGATTTTGAGGAGATCCGGAGCTTCCTGTACTCTTCATAGGTAAAAGGTACATAAAGGCGAGGATGCTCTGCATCCACCAGCTCCGGCGGGGCTTCCACCGCTGCCTCCTTAGGTCCCAACAGGAATGTTGCAATCGACACCCTGACTCCTGCTTCCTTGCACTGCACTCTGTGCTTCACATTGAACAACCTTCCATTGCTCCATGCCTATATTAAACGGAATCATAATCCCACCCCGTACATACCCTGAAACTCAAAAACGAATAAACCAAAAAAAAAAAAAGATGATCGCAAGTATTTCCTCACCGTAGCAACATCTCCGAGATTGATCAAAAGGGCTCCGGGCAAGGGATCGACAGGTATAAAGGCATCGGAGTTCCTCTCCATAACCTCCAGACCACCAACATTTTCATCCAGCTGAAGTATTGTCAGGAAGCTGGAATCCGTGTGGATTTGTGCTCCGGTGGAGCCTACCACTTCCGGGGTGAAGTTGTACTTGTTTATCCTGAATAGGCACGTCCATTCTTTGCAGAAATCACTATTCAACCCCAAGCTTTCAGCTAGCTTTCCTCCTATTTCCATGGTTAACGCATAAATTGCTTGAGCATACTTCTCCATGATCTCACTGTTTTCATACAATAAATTCTTCAAGTTAGTCATTTCAACAAACAGATTTAGATCATCTTTCCATTTCTGGGGTTACCAAAAAAACAAAGAGATGGTACCTTTGGTGAGGGGAGGCATCCAATTGAGAACAGAAGGTCTGCACAGAATGGGATGAGGCCATGTCATAGAGGCCTAATGATTCGTAAAGAGGGTTGACAGGGCTGGGCTCCTGGTACCCGCTTCGGGCGATCACGTCCGTATTCCGGCGCTTGATTTCCACGGGAAGGTCCAAGAGAGATCTCGCAACCTTCTTCATGTCCCACATCAGGTCCAGAGGGATGCCATGGTTCACCACCCTGAAACATCCCCACTCTGCGCATGCTTCCCTCAGTTTCCCATACTCTCCAGGGAAATTTGAAAGATCTATCGTCGGAATACTCTCCTTCCCCTTCCCCATTTTCCCTCCTCTATCTCCAACCCCACTTTTACTTCGTTTTATATATTGCAGTCATGTTCATTTGTGCCAACAGAAAATAAAAATACATTTGAGTCGACGAGTTAGGTATTGTACCAACTAAATAGACTATTTGGGTCCATAAAAAAATATTATTTGACCTTGATGGGTTAGGTGTAAGCTTCTCGATATCCTATATATAACAATTTTAAAATTAGTAATTTTTAGCACGGAAAAATTAAAAATTAAAAATTAAATTTATAATTAAAAATATAAATAATTTTATTATCAAATTACATAATAAATAATATTTTTAAAACTAGTATTTTCTAAAATTAACAATGGTTAAACTAAACATCATCATCACCAGAGGCAGAACACTTCCACCAGCTTTGGGACCGAGCTTAGAGACAAGCTCGATCAAACTCTTTTTTTGGGGCCTGAAATAGATCAAAACAATGTCATTTTGACCTTTTAGGCCTGAAAAGTTTGATCGTCTGACATGCGCTGACAGGTAGAAACATACCGGCTACCTCCTGAAGCAACCATTGGATTTTGAATCCAATGGTTGGAATTTTTTTTAATTAATTTCAATTTTTTATTTAAATTTAAAAACTTTATTTTATGGTTCAAACACTATTAAATTATAAAATATAAATAAAAGTTTACTTTTATGGTCAATGTAATATAATATGATATAATATATCTCGTCTTTTGTAGGCCGCTTTTCTAGAATCTCTTCAAGGTCTTCATCGTCACCCTTCTTACCAACTTGTTCTTTCCAGTATGGACCAACTTTTTCAACCGAGCCACCTCTTTTGACGAGAAACATTTTTGCTTGGATCATTCACCATTGACCGAACCCTTGATGTATATCTAAATGGTAAATGAAGTTGGAAAAACATCATTGTCAAAACAAATATTTTAAAAAGCTGTAAAATGTTTGCAAGTTAAGAAAAATAACATGAAAAATCTATTTAGTTTACAACTTGTGCTTGAAAAATTGTGAGAAAAGAATATACTAGCTAGCTGTTATAGAAATCTCGAGTTCTCAACTTGATATTTCCATGCAACATAATTAAACTTTCATCCCAGCAAGAGATCGACTTCATGCTCACGAACTTGAAGAGCAGCATCATTTTCTTCACACTGTGATTTAAGTCTCTAATGATCACTGGTAACTTGTGCTAAGTTTTCTTTCTACAGTCTCAAGAAAATTTTCAACCTCTGCAAATCTTCTTGTGTTTGCACCTCTTGCTTTTGCATCTCATGCAACTCTCCCAATAACTAGATTCAAGTGCAAATTTCATTGGTATAAGACTATAAGATGATTTTTCCAAATTCAAACTTCAGTTCAAAAACTTGTAGCTTTAAGGCTTTGCGTTCCTGCTCAAAAGTTCTTTTCAAGAATTTCCAGCGACAATTTGAACATGAGATCGGTTTTTTATCATTGACAATCTACTACACACAGTTATGCACAAAATCACGACATATTTGACATATGAATACCTCATTAACTTTCGTCTTTTCCAGTCTAGAAATCCTCCGAAATACTTCAGCCGGGACTGCTTCACCAGAGGAGGATACAGTGATGTTGAGCAGTCATGACTAGGGTTGAGCATAGGGCATGGGTATAGTTGTTATTTACAAATATTTTACCTATTTGGGTAAGTATCTTACCCAAATTGTAGAAAATTAGTTAACAAATGAGTATGAAAATAATATCTCCATACATATCAAATCAAATAACAAGTATAAAGACTTAAAATTATTTATTCGATTTATTTAATCATCTTATTTAATTGACATGTTACTTATACTTATATAATTGAAATTTTATATATACTTATTATACTTAATATCCATATAATAACAATAATTTTTAAAAATAAAAATAATAAAATATAAAATAAAATCACACATGACTTATAATTAATAAATCCTAAATCAAACACATTCACACATAGCCAACAACATTTTCCCCTCCTTGCACTTTGAGGCAATTACGCATACTAATAACTTTAAATTTTGGTTCTTTTTAGCTTTCTTTTTATTTTTATATTAGTGATTTTTAAGTTATAGTTTTTGTTTATTGTATAAATGATTTTTTATTTTCAAACTTTAAATTTAAAATGATAAAAATCATAAATAAAAAACATAAATATCAAAATGTTAAAATAAATATAATACCATCAATCATTATTTCTTTTTAACAAATCAAAGCAAAGGATTAAGAGGATTATGAGCACAAATACGTATACATTTTCTTTGAAGGACATTTATTTTATTATTTAATTTATTTTCATCCTTAATTTTTTGGGTACATATTTTTTGTTTTTCATTGTTAATTATTTAATTAAATTTGCCAACCGGCCTGTGATCCAATTGGTTAGCCCCCAAGCTTTAGGGCTTGGGTGAGGCGGGGGTCAGGGTTTCGAGCTCTGCCACCGCCGTGAACTCCACCAACTTGCGATCTAATGGTCGCGCGCCTCAAATGAGGGGTAGAAGTTTCACTTTCCTGAAAAAATTCCAGTTACTAACAAACTAACTCTACTAACTTCCTAACCATCTACCTGGTCAAAAAAAAAATATTTAATTAAATTTAGTTTTCTAATAGTATATTAATTTGAATTTTAGATATGAGACCTAATTTTTGTTCTTTATTGTTATTTATATTATATTTAAGTTTAGATTATAATAAATAATATTTTATTAAAATTTTACTAGTTTTTTTTTAAGTTTATATTAAAAGTAAATAATATTTTATTAAATTTTAATTTAAAAAAATTTAAAATAAAATATTATTTAACAAATAAATAAATATATACCTAAAAATTACTTAATAATTGTTAGGTGAAATACCAAATAAAAATTTTTAAATATTTGGGTAAGTACTAAAACTAAAACACTTTACCTGAAAATTTTTTAATTATCAAATATATCTCATATCCAAACTGTACCCAAAAATGCTAAAAAATTAAAGAGAATTGTAAGAATTTGAATAGAATAGCAACATTGTCGTAATTTCAATTAAACAGAATTCTTCCCATTTGAATGACGACTCCTCAGGCATCCCTTGTCCCTTTTTTGGGGTTTTGCAGGCTCAGGAATGGATGCGTAAAAGGTCAAGTGCTCCACACCTTGAGGAGCTCCGGAGCTCCCTGTACTCTTCATAGGTAAAAGGTACATAAAGACGTGGATGCTCTGCATCTACCAGCTCCGGCGGTGCTTCCACCGCTGCCTCCTTTGGTCCCAACAGGAATGTCGCAATTGACACCCTAATGGCTGCTTCCTTGCACTGCACCCTGTGCTTCACATTGAACAACCTTCCATTGCTCCATGCCTATTTGAAACGGAATCATAATCCTAGAAATCAGAACACTCTGTACATACCTGAAACTCAAAAACGCCAAAACCAAACAAAAAGGATGGTCGGAAGTATTTCCTCACCGTGGCAACATCTCCGAGATTGATCAAAAGGGTTCCAGGCAAGGGATCGACAGGTATAAAGGCACCGGAGTTCTTCTCCATCACCTCCAGACCACCAACATTTTCATCCAGCTGAAGTATTGTCAGGAAGCTGGGATCCGCGTGGATTGGAGCTCCGATTGAACCTACTGCTTCCAGGGTGAAGTTGTACTTGTTTATCCTGAATAGGCATGGCCATTCTTTGCAGAAATCACTCTTCAATCCCAGGCTTTCAGCTAGCTTTCCCCCTATTCCCATGGTTAACTCATAAATTGCTTGACAATACTTCTCTATGATCTCCCTGTTTTCATACAATAAATTCTTCAGTCAGTTATTTCAACAAACAGCTTTATATCATCTTCCCATTTCGGGGGTTACCAAAAAAACAGAAAGGATGGTACCTTTGGTGAGGGGAGGCATCCAATTGAGAACAGAAGATCTGCACAGAATGGGATGAGGCCATGTCATAGAGGCCTAAAGATTCAAAGAGAGGCTTGTCGGGGCTGGACGCCACGTACCCGCTTCGGGGGATCACGTCCGTATTCCGGCACTTGATTTCCATGGGAAGGTCCTGCAGAGATCTCCCAACCTTATTCATGTCCCACATCAGGTCCAGAGGGATGCCATGGTTCACCACCCTGAAACATCCCCACTCTTGGCATGCTTCCCTGAGTTTCCCATACTCTCCAGGGAAATTTGAAAGATCTATCGTCGGAATAGCCCGCTTCCCCTTCCCCATTTGCCCTCTTCTCTACCTCCAACTCCACGTTGACTCCGTTTTGGATATTGAAATCATGTTCTTATCTCACCTACAGATCCACCGGTCAAATAGACTATTTGGGTCAAAATTTTCAAAAAAAAAAAAAATGAAAAGACTATTTGGGGTTAAGTTAACCACCACATCCACAATTAAAATGAGATTTGGGACTGAGCTAAAGGCAAACTTGGCAAAATCAAATCTTATTTATTACATTTTCTTGCAAAATATATTAAGATTCAAAAATTAAAAAAGAAAAAGGAAACTAAAATATTTAGATAATTTATTTTATATATGAGCTTATTTTAATTTTTTATTTTTTAAATTGTGATTTTATTTAAAGGTTTTAATATTTTATTTCTTTAGATTAAAATGTTAATTATTCATTTAATTTTTATTATTAATTAAAAATTAAAATTAAAATTTTATTTACAAAATAAAAAAAATTAAAAGTTTTACTTAAATTTAATTTAAATCTTATGAAAAATATTTTCAAATTAGATTATTTATTTAAAATTCAAATAAATACATCAATAGAAGTTATATAGAATAATAGATGTTTTTACAAAAAATAAAAATAAAACCTACTTTCCTTGAAAATTAAAAAAAAAAAGAATATATCCAAAATTACTCAATTTTTTTTATAAAATCAAAGATAAATAACTTAGTAAATATAAGTTTCGAATAAATTGGTGACAACGACCGTTAGAATTTTTTACGTAGCATCGACCTTTTTGGGCCCAAAAGTTGGACCACCTACCTGGCCACCTGCCACTTTCTCAAACAGCCGTCGGATTCAAAATCCAACGGCTGAGATCCATTTTTTCCAAACAAAAAGTATTTTTTATTCACAATGTCAGCTATAAGCTATGCCTTGAACATGCTGTTACGCAAGTTCACTCACTACCCTTTCTGCATCACACTCTTCTCTTTTTTTCCATTTTGGTAGCTGTAATTTGGAGGAATAAAAACATTATAAGAACTGAATAACAGTAGCAATATATACAAATAATTCCATACTATACATTTTGATCTTACCCAAGCAAATAGTGGCTCATCCTACTACTTCAAAGCATATTATTAGACATGCATACCAAAACTTAGTCAAATGCCCTTGAGAGATTCAACAAGTGCCTTTAGGGAAGAAGGCCTGATCTCAATCTGCATCGAATGAACTCTACATTGAGTACTACTGACCCTCTGTCTTGTCTTTTGTAGGCCGCTCTTCTTGAATCTCTTCAAGATCTTCATCATCACTCTTCTTACCAGCTTGTTCCTTCCAGTACGCGACCAGCTTTTTCAACCGAGCCACCTCTTTTGAGGAAACATTTTTGCTTGGATCATTCACTATTGATCGAACCCTTGATGCATATCTAAATGTTAAATGAAGTTGGAAAAACATCATTGTCAAAACAAAAATTCATCTATTCTTTAAAAAGCAGTAAAAAGTTTGCAGTTAAGAAAAGAATATGACAATCAATTTAGTTTGCAACCTGAGGCTAGAAATATTGTGAGAAAAGAATATACTAGTTGCTATAGAAATCTTGAGTTCTCAACTTGGTATTTCCATGCAACATAATTAATCTTTCATCCCAGCAAATGACTTCATGCTAAAGATATTTATTTAGATCTAAGCCAGCAAGCTTTTATTTAGAGGCTATGCATTTCTAAATCTAAGTAATTCATAGATCAAGCTCTGCAAGGGAGAATAGATTCACTACTCTGCAACATAAAATAATTAATCACACAAAACAAAATTAAAAGAGAAACATACGTGAGAGAATTGCATGTCTCGTCCAAATTTGAATCAGCTGGCGATACATTCACAAACATAAGGGTTTTAGCATTACCACCAAGTGAATCACTCATTAACATTGTTAACTTGTGATTCCTATAAGGAATGTGTGGACTGCCAGAAGATAAAGCACTGATGACATCTCCAAGTGCTGAAAGTGACTTGTTTATGCTTTGAGCTTCTTTAAGTTGGTCACCACTAGAACCTGATTTCTTTACTCTTTCTGAACCGGCAAGGTCAACAAAACTTAACTGCACGTCAAATCTTAAGATGGTCACAACTTAACAAGCATAAATGAAACAATTCTCAACCAAATAAAAACCACTTCAAGTTGCTCAATTCTTGGTATTCTCATTAATATGAAAGTATGTGCAAACTTCTATACATTAAGTTTCCTATACCAATAGCAAAAAAAGTAACTTATAAGATGCTGGAGATAATATAATTTTATTGAGTGTTATACCTTTCCCCTTGCAACAGACTGTGTCTGAAGGTTGGTACTCTCAATAACAACAGAAACTATCAGATGAGATCTTGAACTTTGTTCATTCATCTGAGTTTCAGAAACATGTCGTTGCTCAGATCCTCTTTGAAAAATGCTTTTTAACTCCTCACATGTAGAAATAGGAATAACTGTGACATTTTCTACTGTTACCATGCCCTGAACATCACAAGGAAATAAATGAAAAAAGGAACTACTAATATAATTTTTACAACAAAAGAGTGCATAGAAACACCATTTCCACCATATGAGAAAAGGTCAAGTGGTTCAGCCAAGTCAAACCATTTATGAAGTATTACCTTCGAATCTTTCTTTATATCTAGTTTCAGACGCTTTGCATTCTTTGGTAATAAAAGGTCCATAATTGTGTCCTGATATATCTCCACCATATATGCCTGCATCATTTCCATGAGTAACATCAAAATACTTAGAACAATGCAATGTAGAATATATCATGGATTTTGTGTATGGTTGTATGAACTAAACATCAATAAACCAGTGTAAAGGAATAATATTCATTGTAGAGCAGCAAAGAAACCTTCAATGAAAATGAGAATTTGTTGCTATCTCGCTTTAAAATTTTGAAAAGCTCTGCAGTAGCTCGAGGCGTCAGTCCAGGATTGCTATCTGATCCATATATTGTAAAAGTTTTTCCAGAGCCAGTTTGACCATAAGCAAATATACATACATTATACCCATCAACTGCTGATTGCACCAAGTACTGCATTTTAAATACAAAAGGTAAAGTAACAAATAACTTGAAACTGCTCTAAAGTGCTCTATCCCTTTTAACAAGCCAAAACTCAATAAAAAAATATATATAAATTCCAACAAACTTACCCTTGTATCCTCAAAAACATCTTCCTGAGTAGCATTGCTATCAAACACACGATCATATACATATTGTTTTGCTTTATCATCCTTCCATGGATGTTCAACTGTGAACTCATCCAAACTTGTAAGCACTTGTCTTTGCTTTTCAGCTGCCTCTTTCTCATTTAAAGGTCTCAAACGACAATAAACTCTGATCTTGCCTTTCATATCTAAATAAGTATACAAGGATGCAAAGTAGAAGTTAAAAAGTTGGGATGATAATCTAAAATGGTATAATATATTAAGAACATATGTTATAAAACTTTTTTACGCTTCATAACAACCTTCTATGGTATTAAAGTAGCGCTTTCTTAAAACTTGTTCTTCTTTATAAAGTGCTTCCAACTCAGCGAGTTGAGCCCCCTGCATCTTCAAGATAGCAGCTGTTTGCTCATTCTTTCTATCAATATCCTGGGAGTACAAGAAAACCCGTAAAAGAAGTTTCAATTTTCAGTTGTGAAATATTTAAAGAGGTATACAGTTAAAACAATGGAAGAGTGGTACCTCTTTCATTTCTCTCAGTTCCTCTAATTCTTTTAAATTAGTTTGCAATGCAGCCAAATCCACATTTTTAATTGCAAGATTAGATTCTGCATCAGCCAAATCTTTAGTAACAGCTTCCAGATTCCTTTCAACTTCAGAAACTTGAAGCTTTAAGGCTTTGCATTCCTGCTCAAAGTTCTTCTCAAGAATTTCCACCTACGGTTCAAACACAAAATCAGCAGTTGTTTACTATTTATTGACAATCTACCATGCACAGTTACACACAAAATCACAACATATTTGACAGGAATACCTCATTAGCTTTCATCTTTTCCAGTCTAGAAATCCTCTCTTCCAACATAAGCTTCTCAGTTATTAATCTTTTTGCTTTTTCTTCTGCTGCATGCAACTCTTCAGTTCGGAGCTTTAATTCTTCCTGGACCTTGTGTAATGCCTGCATTACATAAGCCACAATCCAAGAAAATTCACAGCAAAATAAGTACAATATATTACTCATGTAAGAAATTTAGGTTACTAACATAAGAAGAATAGCAATTCACTTTTACAAGATACTACCTGATTACTTGTTCCAGACAAATCAGTGGTATTGTTCCCTGAAGCCAGATTACTGAACTTAGCCAACCTAGCTTCCATGTTTCTCTTCTCCCTTAATGCAGTCTAAAATATTCAAAGTAAATAAATACCAAATAAATGAAAAAAAAATAAAGGACAAAAAAAACCAAAAGATTAGCAGCACGAACTTGAAGAGCAGCATCATTTTCTTCACACAGTGATTTAAGTCTATCACGATCAATGGTAATTTGGGCTAAGTTTTCTTTCTCCAATCTCAAGGAATTTTTCAAGCTCTCCAATTCTTCTTGTGTTTGCACCTCTTGCTTTTGCATTTCATGCAATTCTCCCAATAACTAGATTCAAGAGCAAATTTCATTGGTATAAGATGATTTTTCCAAATTCAAACTTCAGCTCAAAAAAGAGATGCCTAGATTTGTACATGAATAATTCAACGACTTACTTGGTTGATTTTCTTCTGGGATTCTTCAGCAGCTTTAGATAAATCCTGGAGGCGTTTCTCATACACTTCTACACCAGGAGGCCTAAAATTGTTAGAAAGATCTCCATTGACTGAGCCATTGGCAGCAGACCGACCTTTCGAGTATCGACGCAACATGACATCATTTATATGTGTTTGAAGAGCAACACAAATTTCTTCTCCCTGCATAAAATTTTTAAAAGCCTAAATCAAAAACAAAAACATAATGTTTAAAAGGCACTGGAAATGAAGGTATTAAGAAATAAAGGAATAAGATAGCTGTTTGAATGTACATCACTAAATTGTAATTTGCTACCATAAGAAAAAAGTAGTCTCTGACGTATTTGGAACTTCATTACCACTTCTCTACTAATAACTGTAATAGTTAGTAGTCTCTCGGGTACTTTTGTGATTTCTCAACATTACCTTCCAACTACTTTCTTGAAGTGACATCTACATTTATCCCCAACTCCCACATAGAACAGAACCCCCAATCCCTCATTTTTTTAAAGGGAAGAATAACAGAGGAGAAGATAGACTACCTGTTTGGTTTCAAACTGAAATATGTGAAGAACACCTGCAACCCGCATCTTGAAAAATACAGCAGCATTGCTACTACCAAACTGCATTATATCTCTTAATTCAGCAGAATGCAAGTATTCCTTTGGAACTGGACGAAAAAAGTGAACCTTCAATTGGACAAATAAATTACTGTCAACCAAAGTTAGTGTATACTGTACATATGTAACTATGTTCATATACCATTATGATTTATGAAATTATCTCAAAGCATGCAATTTGTAAAACTAACCCCTCGCTTATTGATACCCAAAATAATTTTTCCAGGCAAAAGTCCAATAGGATCGTCAATTTTGCGAACACTGAAGAAAACCGAATTCCCATATGGAAGCATCCTCAGTATTCGTAGAAATTGCTGTCTTGCATCATCTTTTGTCAGATGTTCCTATAAGGCATTGGAACCATGACAAAATTTATATCCAAACAATTTAATCTTGGGTAACTAAGTTAATCAATTAAGAACAAATAACTAAGAAATCATCCTTCTACCATCAGATGGTAACGAGAGAGAATATCCAGCTCCCATTCTCGCTTTGCTCGGGTTATTGCAATTTGTCTTGGAAGGTATCTTTCTAGCAGTGAATTCCAGTCACTGGATAAAATTGGCATTGTCAAGTAAAATCCTTTGAACTGAAAAAGAAAATTCCAATGCACAAAACTGATTCCTTTTGCACTTATGAAGCACTAGTGGAAGAAAATGAAAAGAAACCACTACCACCATGGCACCACATAAATCAGAAATCAGGATTGGTAAATTAAATATATTGAAGATTGGGAATTATACTGACGTGCACAATTCAGGGGAACCAACAAATCCAATCTCAACCAAGATCTGCAATGCAGACAACTGTGCAGCATCATCCCTTCCAACTGGATAATTGCCCAATATATAGTCATGTTGCAACTGCATAAAGCATGAAAATTTTAAAAGTTATTTATAGCTAATAGTTTTGTATATGTTAAAACTACTCTAAACAAATTTTAACAGAAGTACATACTTGAACGTATGAAAGCTGCACAAACATTGGGTCTGTTATAGCTTCATCTGGTTCCCGAAATAGCTTCTTCTTAAATATAAGTTTGCAGTGTAAAATTTCTCCTTTGCTTCGGTCCTTGGCTGCCTTGAATTCCGCTAGCAGATCTCCTATATATTTATTGTCATCTAACCCAACATACTCCTCTACATAACAACAAAGAACAACTTGCTCAACCATTTCATTAAATCCTTATATGGGAAGTAACCAAGAAGTTGATAGAATAATTACCACTCCCGGGATCAGATGACTTAGAACCAGTAACAACTTTATGACATTCAAACAGGCTGAAGCTAGAATATGCTGACAGTTTAATTATACCTGCAAGCTCCTGAAGCAATGCAATTGAAAAATAAATACCAAGAAAACAAAAGAAATGTTGTCTGCAAGAAAACATAGCATCTTAAGGGTTTTGCATCAAAGCTGTGGCTGATTTAGCAGGCTCAATGAGAGCCAAGCATGGATAGTGTTCTTACATAATTTCTAATCCACATCTAGCATTTTGACTTACATTGGGTACAAAAAGGAACAGTTAAATAGAAGGCTAAAAAAGGGATCCCTATTGTTGTGAAGCAATAAAACATAAATAATTACATAGACTTTTTAACAGGTTTACAAGAATCTAAATTACCAGAGAATATCCTGTATGAAACTTTACCGACTTATTTCATAACTTAACCATTAGAGTAGATCAGTTAAATTAGCATTGGTATCCTAGCTAGGGCTAATGCAATGATATCATGATTCAATCACTTAACCTTGTACAACACAAGAATATTTCACTGCTCCAGTCTTCACCACATAATTTTCAGTTTTCTATTTGAAAATGAAGCCTTGACGATACAGAACTTAAAGAGCAGCACTCAACAGAAAACAATCATTTCAAATGGAAATTGTGATGAAAACTATAAAAAAATTCTTTTCTCTATAACTTATAAAAGTATAAACCCTATAAGAAATTCACTCATTTTTTTTCTAACAATCAGAAGGGATTTCTTTACCTGTTGATTTACTGGCTTAAGGAACTATTGAAGACCAATGTAAAAGAAAAGGAACAATTAAAGAAAATTTATTTGAGTATCGGGCTATTTATTTTCATTTTTGCAAAGTCAAACCTATCATAATGAAAGCATGAAACCAAACAAAGAATGAAAAGTACCTCAACAGCATCTGATATGGAAGTTGCCATGTCATAAGTGATTTCTTCAAAAGTTTCATCCAAGAAAAAAACTATAGTTGTTAGCTTTCGACCAGTTAGAAGGGCTTCAATCTCTTCACGCCCAGGTGTTGTAAGCCTGGGGCCAGCTTTAACAGAATGCTTCAGGGCATTTAATGTATTCAATGCAAGAGTTTGAACCTCAGAATCAGTGCTTGCCCCATTTGCTATGTTATGGATGTACTCAGATAAATATCCTCCAATGTCCTTGCTAGGAGGCATAGAAGATGCACATAAATAAAAAAGCTCCCACGCTTTAATTAAACTTTGCCTGTAACATCCAATTTGATGAGGACAATAAGGATAACAAATAACAACAAATGACATGGTATATACATGGGAAGGATAGGCATGATAAAGAAGTATATGAATAACCTTATAAATACATACAAACCTATCAGGGTTATTTCTTGTTTGCTTTGATATTTGAGTAAAAAGTTCGTCTCGAAGTTCTGCACGCTTCATAGTATGCTTATAAAGTTTCCCAACAAGCTCAATTCGTTCATCTAAGCTTACTGGAGATACTCCATCTGATGAATCAATTCCCATGTACTTCAAAATTACTTGGAACACTTTTGTTGCTCGGCTCACAAGGTCACCATTGATTTTAAGTAGTGAAGTTGGAATGGGTTCCTGCAAAAATACTTGTAGTTAGCTCTTCATGACTATTATGAACGAAGATATTCTTTTGCAACATAGAATGCCTTACCTTTTGGAAACATAACATATCCTCAAATGTGAACTTTTCTCGAACTGGAGGACCTGCAGTTTTTTTTGAGAAAAAGCTCCGCTTTCCACCAGACTGTATCTGTTTCTGCATCAATTTTAGAAATATCTCCACCTACATAGTATATACAGCAATTGCATAAAAAGGTTGATCGTCAGCGGACATTAATCTAAAAAGAAGCTATAAACCTAAAACCAATTTGGTTCCTTTTATTTTGAAGCATCAAGGATTGACCAATAGAAATTTTCTTTTCTTCTTCTTCTTCTTCTTCTT